GTAAGTTTGTTTGTCTGTCCGGAAATTCGGTTCGACCTGAAGAACGACTTGGAGAGGTCGGGTCAAGGTGGGGATGGGTAGAGCATGGGACAAGAAATAAAAAGCACACTTGACCTATGCGAAGCCCCGCCCACAGTGGGCGGGCGGGGCACTCGCTGAAAGTTTGGGTTCCGCACAGAAATGTTCATAATTCGCTTCCGGAGAAGTTCAAAGATAGAAATGCTGGAATGCAGGTTAGGGAGCAAGGAGTTGCGCAGACTACGATTTTACGAAGTCGCAAAAAACTCAATGCAGAATGTAAATAACTCGCGAGTGTTGGGCACGCTCAAAGTGTGTTGAGACCCGCCCACAGTGGGCGGAGCTTGCCCTTAATCGCAGGACACTCATTTTAAAAGTTTGTAGCTCAGTTCCAGAACACTCCAGAAACCGGAAAAAAAGAGGATCAAGGTCAAAGTGATTGATTGTGGAATTGTGGGTGGGGCAAACGATTGACGCGGCCTGCTCCGAGGTGGGCGGAGCTAGACAAAAATTCTGTAAAATAGTTTCGGAGCACTCCAGACACCGGAAAAAGTGGATTAAGGTCAACCCGGGTCGCCCATTGAGAAATGTGGGGCATAAATGTTGTGGACAGGGCCAGCCCGAGGTGGGCGGAGCCAGACAAAAAAATCTGCAAAACGGTTTCAGAGAACGCGGGTCGCAGGCACCGTAACATGTGACGCACCTATTGTGGCAGGAATGCTCCATTGTTGATATATGGGCGATGAGTTGAGTGTGTCTGTGATGTGTTGTCAGAACCTGCTGACCAGTGGGGCGGAGGCACGGACGTACTTATTCTTTTACTGAGTTTTAGGCGGCTGTATGTTCGTCTGCCATACTCATTAACTCACAGGCGGTCACATAGGTTTAGCATTGCTAAGCGGAGGCGGCTGATGCCCGCGCTCCTCCTCGCTGTGATACGGCGCAAGTTGCTGCGACGGGAACCGGTTTCTCCAGCACAGTGGTTGCTCCTGAAAAATCCATCCAAGTGAACCACATAATTCCTAGCCAGAAATACGACCCCCCCTCCCCCAACAACGACCAAATACGACCCCCCCCCTCCAAAACGTCCGCAAAGCGAGAAAAATCAACTATAAAAATAAATTTTTCCCAGCCCAAATACGACCCCCCTTTTGGCGGCCAAATACGACCCCCCATAGGGAATCCCCAACCAATGCTGTGCCCTGCCTAATACGAGCACTGGTAGAGGTGAGGCAGCAAGGCGGCCCATTTCCCGGGGTAGGTTAGGACTCGCACGAGAGGTCCACGCGTGTCGATGTCTCGACTCGCCGCGCGCGCGATTGAAACCTGACTTTTTACGGCAGAGCAAGTACTGGTCGTGCGATTAAGATCCCGGTCCCTTCACATAGTTCTGGCATCACGCGAATCTGCTTGGGATTTTTCCAAACCAGAATATTCAATGGGACGACAGTATTTTTGAATGGCAGCTGTTACTTGACGGGTTGCTGTATTTCTTCAATAGGACCTACTTTTCACCGTCTGGCCGAGAATCTTAAACCTTACAATATCTTACAATTGAGGCCAAAAGAAGGATTCACCACAAAGAATTTTCGTAGATTGCTGATGTATTCTCTAAATATTTTTCTACGTTAATCGGGCGTTTGTTTTCTACGTAGTTGAAGTATCGGGCCATTTCCTTCATAGCCTTCACACCTGCAAGTATAAAGCAGACGGTTGGAAATCTCATGAACTATGCAAATGCAAAAAATACATAGCGAAAGCATCGCGGAGAGCACCTCCGCGGCGGCGGCAGGCTGACCTCTCGTGGAGTCCTAACCGTTCCCCCCCCCCCCTCCACTCCCCTCCTCTGACCCCTCGCGTCACTCATCCGTCCTGCTTATTCACTAGACTCGCCTGTTTAAAGACGGTGTCTATGTCTCAGAGTACTTGCACACTTTTACCCCACGAGGAAGAGTTTTTTATTATTCAAATCAAGAATAGCCACGCTCGTCACAGGTTGGTTTTTTTTGTAGAAGGCCACTCGTAGTTATAGGTAGAAGTGGGCAGATGGAATTGAAGGGGAAGGTAAGAAGATACAACATGTTTTAATGTCAAAAATACCAGCCCAGCGCTGAATTTGTCCCTGACTAAGGAGGAACCCCAAAGTCGACTCCGGCATTTGCAATTGAGATGTAACATTATTGGACGTGTCTTGAGCCGCTGATTTCAAATCTGCCCTCCTTTTTTGCGGAACGATTCTCTGAAGAGAGTTACGGACCATTTAATCTTTGCTCTGTTGTACAAGTTGAGAAGGATAGTTGCTCGGCATGTTGGAATCCTTGACTCTTGAAATATTTTTGCTTTTGTTCAAAGCACTTCATATCAGTCCCCAGAACACTTCTGTTTGGCCGATTCACCTAAATCTCTGATTATTTAACAATAGAAGCGGCCATTGCTATATTTGTGGTTCCTTCTGAAAACTTTTATTATGAGGATGACCGTTTCTAGAGCTCGCATCGAGTAATGGGAATCTTATGGTTCAAGAGCACATGTGGTATTCTTCCACAAAATGACAGAAACAAACTAAGTTTTTTCTCAAAATTAGCACAGCAAATGAAAAGTACTCTGCACACACGGTACAGTTACAGTTCTCCAAAAATCCAGGGGGAAGCAGTACTGAAGAGGTGTTTTGAACTCACCAGGATGTACATCGAAGTATCCAGTCGAGTACCAAGAATAGCAAGAAATTTTTTTATTTAATGTGAACTGGACCGCTCAGGTTCCCCAGTGCGTTTTCTCATAGTCGGCTCGTAGGGGTTCCTCTCTAAAGATCAGTGGAACTGTTCTGCCACAATAAATTGTGAACACTATGCAATATTCCCCAGGTTGTTACGTCATTTGCTTCTATTTTCAGATCGTGTACTTTTTCTCACCAACTTCAAGCATGTACGAAACGCTTCACTTCTCATGTTTGGCCTTGATATAAATTCTATTCATCAGGGACTCCATTTTCCGTGTATTATCTCTTATATATTCTCAATTTTGCTCACCTTGATTTGAAAACTTCTTATCTATTCTTGGTACTCGGCTGGATACTTCGATGTACATCCTGGTGGGTTCGAAACACCTCTTCAGTACTGCTTCCCCTCCGGATTTTGGAGAAGCTGTAAAGTACTCGAGTGCGAGTATTTACGTTTTGCAATTTGATCGCTCATTTTGAAGAACATCGTGGTTTGTTTCTATCATTTTCTGGAAGTATACGCACATGTAATGCAGTAAAATCTCCATTGCTCTATGCGAGCTTTAGAAACGGTCATCCACATAATAAAAGTTTTCGGAAGAAACCACAATGGAGCAATGGCCGCTCCTATTGTTAAATAATCAGAGATTAGGTGAATTGGCCAAACAGAAGTGTTCTGGGGACTGATATGAAGTGCTTTGAACAAAAGCAAAAATATTTCAAGAGTCAAGGATTCCAACATGCGACCTCATGTCTCTGAAGCACTGCGCTTTCTCCACTAGGCCATCGCCGCTCGCTGCAGTGTAAGCATGCCTTCTCACTTGTACAACAAGAGGAAAATGTTAAAGTGGTCTCTTCAGAGGAGATTCCGCAAAAAAGGAGGGGAATTTTGAATTCATGCGGGCTCAAGGCACGCCCATTGTGTGTACAGATCTGCATTTCAAATGGCCGGATCCGACCTGTGGGGTTCCTGTGATCACCCGCCAACTGGCAGTACTGTTTGGACCTCAACCAGGCCAAATCTGCGAAAGCACCTGTGGAACTAGCAAATATCTTTACGGTTTCTCAACATAATAGACTTTTACGCGCGCGAGTCGCCCGTACACGCCAAATTTTCCCAGAGATGCGGTAGGGCGTGGGCTGCGTAGTTAAATCGTTAGCACCGCGGGCTGAGGATTTCGTGAGGCATTGCATTTCGCGACAAGCTTGGTAAAACAATCGTTTTTGTCCAACGAAGAACGAGGATAATAATTTTCTCAAATTGAAATATCCCACATGCCACAAATTCTATGCCATATTCAAATTCCACGCCTGCTCCGTCTCAGGGATAAGGAGTGTAGAACCACTCAAAGCATTGAAAGTACTCATCGGGTTCAGATGGCCACTCTCTGTTTTACTACTGAGTGCGGTTAGCGCCAAGCCAGTGGTGGTAATGGTGTGGGAAAGTTTTGGAAGTTCTTCAACGCGAAGATGTGATATACGTTGCCTGCAGTGCGGGCTCAGCATTGTAGCCTTGAATACCGACATAATCTTATCCCACGGCTTCCCAGGGTTACGCTTATAAAATAACTAAGAAACTGAATGATAGGCAAACAGACTAGGCGAAAAAAATGACCACTTCTCATTTCTTTGATAATAAGCCGTTTGTTGGTTTTTTCGTAAATAATGAATTATTCTCGTTACATCACTTGCTGTGGTACAGGGCGCGCTCGCGCACATATTATAATATAATTATCATAATATTAATGTAAATAATATATATAATATAATAATATAATGTAATATATATTATATATAATAGCACTTCTGCTTCGAGCACAAAAACGTGCCGCTCCCGGGAGGCACACATTAGCGTTGATAATCGTATAGGCCGTACATTTGGATCGCGTTTGCACAGCCGCCCTCCTACAGTACTCATCACTGCGAGCTGTCGAGGCAAGAACCTGTGCAGACGGTCCAAATAGGGCGGCTCGCCGTCTAGCTCTACCAATGGTGATCGGGTAAAGATCGATTTAGGGAGGGAGCAACCAATGGTGGAAACGCCGCAGGTGCGAGCCGCTGATTGCGACCGACAGTTGTTTGTGTATGTAACAGTGTTTTTCTGGTAGTCAATAGCTCGTATCGCCCATAGCTGGTTTCGTGCTTGTAAGATTAATTACAATTATCTAAATTATCAACTAGTTGTCTATTATTGATCAAGCTCAGTTTGACCGCTCTGTATCGGTTAAAAGATGATGAAATAGGGTCAGATGAAAATAATGGAATGAAATGTCTGAAGATCAATCAGGAGGTAGGGCATGCCCGAGACGAGGTTGGCGTGGAGTAGAATGAGTTGCATGCGTTACAGTTACATGTGGGATATTTCAGTTTGGGGACAACTGGTCATGTTATTACTGTGTGGACAGAGATATTATTACAACTGACCCAGAATGAGGATGCCTCACATAAATCTCAGCCGCCGCCATCTTTAGTTGGTACGCAGCCACTGCTACCATATGTATCTCAAGACCTCAAGTGTAATTTTGCGCGCATTTCCGTGTGCGACCCTATGAGCTGGCGAAATTGCTCCTTGTACTTCAGAAAATAGGATATGTATTGTGAAGATAAATGCCCGTGATCTTTCTGTTTCTTCCTTCCTCCTCTTGTCAGAGTTACTTACCCTCCCGTAAGCTCGAATGCTCTCAGCTCCTTCGAAGTTCTGTGAGAGAACTGCAAGCACCTGGGATCTTTGCGCACTTTCAATCCTTTTGATCTGTCGATTTGTCGGGAGGAAATACTTCTGAATTAACAAGTTGATTTCCAAGCGTTCAATGGACAATACAATGAACTTGAATTTGAGAGAATATAATGGGCACTACTGAGCTATTCCTTTAGGATCCTGTCTTGTTTTCCTCAACGTTACGCTTCAATGTTGATCCCTTCAACCGCTTTGCCGATAGCGACATATGGTTGGCTTTGGAGGCTTGTCAGTTGAAGGAGATGGTCTCGAAACGCGAACACGGTCTGATGACAGAAATTGAAGAAGGAGGAAAGAATATCAGGTAAGGCTGAAGCAGTTCTGCTCAGTGCTGCTAAATTCTCGCTTTGTAGTATTGGAGAACGGCAAGCTTTTATGCTTGTGTCGATCACTTCTGGAAGGTGGAGCGATACTTATCCTTGATGAAGCAACAGCATCACTTGATCATGCGACGCAAACCGCTTGTTGATGCGGTGAGGGTTGAGCAGTGGAAAATTCTTGGCATATTTCATCTGTTGTCAACTGGTGGTTATTTTCTGTAATGATTCAGGTGGTACGAGAACACTTCCGACATGCCACTACGATTACCATAGCTCACAAACTGGAGACAGTTGCGGAATGTGACAGGTGAAGAGCTAAAGTAGCCAAAGAAGCACTGAGATAGATCTAGAGCGAGAGTCTAGACTGAGCCCACGGCGAACCAGAATTCAATTCCTCTGATTCGCGCCAGTTCTCTGTGTTTCTCTGAGCTCTCACGTCTTGGCCTTTTGGCCACAGAGACCCTACACATTCCAGCTTTTCACACATATTCAGTGGCTCATCCTTCCCGTGGAAGGCTTATCCCAGGCTTATCCCCTACTCGCGAAGTGGTTTTTTGCATCTTTCGATGCCTTGGAGCCTCAGTCCCCTTTTTCTGTCTTCTGGCCTTTTGCTCCAGGACAACCACGAAAGGTTCTAGTTGTCACGTAACCCTTTATACTTTGCAGTGTTCTACTTCAACGCTCCTCAGAGCAGTACCTAGTCCTAGCATCGCTCTAGAGCAGATCTATCGGCACCAACCAACTTTTACTGCCTAAACACTCGGAGTAAACTTCATCTGAATTCTTTTCATAAGGTTTCACGCGGTGTCTCTAAATAAATGTACTTTTTGGAGTTCGGCTCCATTTGGCGCCTATGTCTTTTTTCGTACAAATCGGTATAACCTTTTATGATGAAATTATCTGATGTTTTGGTTACACATATGGCCTTCACTCTTGGCGCCGGCGCCATTTACTGCAAGAATAATGATGCCACCACCTTTTTCACCAAGTTGATATAAACTTGCATACCACATTTTTATCGCAAGCTTTAGCGTTGGTCCACTCTGGTCGTCTGCGCTCTGCTAAAGCTGAGC